AGTTAATTTGTAGGCTACTGGCATTTTATAAATATCAACTATATATTATAAGGATATTAATGGCCTTGGATACTGATCAGATTGTTATCTGTTCATATAGGAAACCCAGTAGAGATGAAGGTGATTCAAGGTCAGCAGGTTTTACAGTTGCTTCCAAATGAACTCAAGAAAGATGAGAATTTCAGTTGTAAGCTTAACTGAATATAAGCTGAAAGATGCAGGTAAATAGGAACAGTGGAAAAAAAGTGTAAGTATCTCTTGGAGGGAATCCACAATTTGAGGGAGTTTCTGTGATACTCAGGGTAAATCAGCGTTTTACTTCATAATCTTTGACTTAGCAGTTTAACCGAATGACCCCTGTGTTCCGATTTCCCCATTTCTTAACTCAGTCAACTACAGTGAGGTCATGACATGGCTGTGTCTGCTGCTGTTTCCGTATCATGTCACGCTGTCGCGCCCCCAGGTCAGTCTGCGGGCAGGTGTGATACGGTGTGGGGGCTCTTTACTTTGGGTTCTGTGGCTCCAGTGTCACAGTTCTGACTGCCTGAAATTGCAGACATTTGTATGTCCATTTTTCTGGGAAGAGGGTTCTTTCTGTAGCTTTCACCAGATTCTCAGAGGGATCTGTGACTCCCCAAAAGGTTAAGAATCTCTGGTCAAGAGAAAAAAAGAGTATTGAACCAATTAGCGGGGGATGTGGTTTTTACAACAGTATAGTTCTACCACACTATAGTTCACAAACATTTATAATCCATTCTCCACTGCAGCCTTTAAGAAGGCAAAAAATCATCTCCCATGTTACAGTTGAGAAAATACCCAGAGCCAGAGGAATGGAGCTTTCCCGGATCCTGGTCCATTTTCTGTCTGCCTCTAGTCAAAAACTGGACCAAATGGAAAGTACTGTGGCATTTTGATAATAAACTAGTAGTTGTAACACCTTCACCCTCCCCCCCACCTGCTTTTCTTTACTTTGCTGGTTTGTTTTTGGTTTCCTGGAACCTTCCGTAACATCTCTAAGCCTTTGTTTTGTCTTGTTGAAACCAAAGCTTCAAAGACAAGATTATTGACTATTGATTGGTTTGAAGCTTTCATGAGACCCTCTGACCTGTTTTCCAGCACATAGACATTGTAAAACAATCTTTTATTACTACAACTTTGGGTTTGTTTCACTGATATTAATTTGTTGCTGTTGAAAGAGCATTACACTGGGATCTAGTCGACTCGGTATAATCTCAGGCAGATAGATTATTTTCTCTCACTCAGGGAGTCTCCTCTGGGGATTGGGTGGGGATACATAGGAATGACGCAACTTTTTAAACGTTTACCCCTTCCTGTCTCCCCAACTAAGAAGGTAACTCTCTTATTATCTCCCCCCTCCACCTCATCAGAGTCAGGAGTGGGCCATTGTGTGTGTTATGACCCTCAACGTATGCTACAGTTGAAAAAGGTTGAGTGCTATTCTCCCAAAGCCTCCTCCTAGCTCTTCTAGCTTTTCTTACTGAAAGCTCATCGAGCCCGAGTTACACAAAGGCCAGGGTAAGAGCTGCAAATAGGAACTTCCCAGTGTGTATTGGGGGTAGAGGTCACCTGGTACTCTGAAGGCCATTGGAGATATCAGTGCACGTGATTTCTTAGCTATTGGTCAAGAATCACTATGTTTTAGTCCCTTTTTCTCACAGAGAAAGGAGGCCTATAATTTGGAGGCCCTCCCCTGTGCAGTACAAATTCCAGCCTTCCTCACCTGCTGTCAGTACACTACTGTTGATAACATGCAAGAAATTGTCATAGTTAGCGAGGCTGTAAACTCCTCGGGGACAAGAGGTAGCTCTAATTCTGCTCATCATTGTGTCACTGGCCACAGTACCTGGTTCATAGCAGCCGTTCAATCCATTAATACCCAACGGATGACGGAATAAACAGATGAATTTGAGGAGAATAAATACCTACAGCCAAAAAGCTATTCTGTTGACTTTAGCATATCCCAGTTGCTAAGTACAGAAACAAAGAGCTGAGGGAAGTTCCTGGAAATCTTTTTGGGTAGTGAGAAGAGTGAATGGTTAAGAAACCTGGGATTTCATTGGGACCACCCACTTAAATTTTAACTCTCTACGGCAAAATAAATCCGGTAGTACCCTCTCTGAATGAGAATTACGCTGAAATAATTTGAAGTTCAATCAGAATGTGTGGGTAATGATCTCTTCTATTACTTATTTTCTGATCCACCTTTGCTTGGTTCCCTTGCTGGAAAGCTCTTTAACATGAGCCCACTTTTCTGCCCAAGTAAACTTCAGTGAAAATTTTGTTACGCTTTCATATTTTACAGGGTCTCAGGATTTATCACAAACAAATACATGGTGTATTATGGATATGCTAATAGAAGACTGAGGTGACCGAGATGAAACTCGCACTCACCCCGAGTGGCCTTACAAGTAGGTAGCGTAGCTGAAAACCCACATGGTTTGATGTGAGAAGACTCCTTTTCCCAGCAATAGCTCCCCTCGGGATTGTTCCGGTGCTTGAAATCCCACCATTTAGACTCTTTGGATTAAGGAATTCCCTGTGTTCAAGAGTCCCCTTTCAAAAGGTGAAATACTCAAAAGAGAGCTCGCTCATTATCAATCCAAATGGCATCACCGGATGTTAAAACATCATGGTCACTAGACAAGAACAGGTCACACAACAACTGCTTTTTAAAATGGGGCCAGGGTTGGGGGGCTGGAGGGCCCAGTCCGTTGAGTGTCCAACTCTTGATTTCGGCTCAGGTCATGAGCTCAGGGTCCTGACATTGAGCCCCACATCCAGGCTCTGTGCTCAGTGGGGAGTCTGCTTGAAGATTCTTTCCCTCTGCCCCTTCCCCCCCCCCACTCGCGTGCATTCTCTCTCTCAAATAAATAGATAAAATCTGTAAAAAATAAATAAAGTGGTTGCAAGGGTAGAGGTAGGTCCTGAGCAATGAATTATGCCTGAGGGATGCAGAGCTGAGTGGGTCACTGAGCTAGTAGGTGCATGAGAATCCTGGGTGTTTGGAAACTAAGACGCCAGATGGCCAGGAAGGGCACTGAAAGGAGAGATCCGAAGATACCACTTCAGATTAACCTCGCCTATTTCCCAGCCTTGCCCAGCTAAGGTTTCTTCATGGGCAACATGTACTCTATATTTTTAAATCTGGACTTTCCCTTCCATTCCTGTCTGATTTCGGCTTAGCTTCCAGGCTATTGAGATCATTTTGAGTCCTACAACATAGTAATCATTCTCCCCAGGAGGAAGGCATCCACACATTTGTTAAGTGTCCCTTCTGTATTTTTATCTAAGTCACTAGTTCTTAATCTTGGATTCAGGGAGTCTGTAATTTACCTAAAACTGTACATGATACTTTGTGTATATAAGTGTTTTTCTTATGGAGAGGGGGCCAGAGTTTTCAACAGATTTTCAAGGTGATCCTTGACCTCAAAAAAAGTTGAAAACCACTAAATCCAACTATTCATCAGTATTTTGACCAGAACAGTGCTAATCAGGACAGAGTTCTGTAAGATCACCAAGAGTGACTTCCTTCCTGCTCAGCACTGATCCATCAAAAATTTGGGGGTACAGCTATTGAGTATTATATATTAGTCTCTCTTCTTGTGTTCCGCCTCTATTATAAAAGTGGAAGAGAAAAGTGAATTCCAGCTACTTTGGTGTTCTGGTGATTGAGATTTTTACACTGCTGGTGTTTAGTTTTTAATCTTTAAATATTAGATCATTCTCAAAACCTTCATCATTAGATCATTCTCAAAACCTTCATCATTGTGCTTACTGGACCCATCAGACAATGTGTATCATAATATTGTATTTAATGTGAATGGAATTATAGATGCTCCAAAAAGTCCCTACAATTGGCAAAAAATCGACACATCAAAGAAATTACCTACGTAAAACTTGTTATTTCTCTCCATGGCTCCTAAAGTGTAAATGTTAAGTTCAGTCTGCCTTAAAACCAATAAAGGCTCTACCTCAATTAGTGTATAGGTATGTTCTCTATATAAAGGGCTTCGCAGCTTAAGAAAATCCCCTACGTGAAAATCGGGATGTGATAAGTTAGAGTCATTACTTCATTTAAAAAAGATTCACCTTGGAGTCAGGCACAAAACAAGTAGACTGTATGATCACATTTAGACATAGGTCAAGAAAAGGCAAAGCTAATCTCTAATGACAGAAAGCAAATCAGTGGTTGCCTAGGGCCGGAGTATGGTGGGATTGCCCAGAGGGGCACAGGAAACACTTTGGATTGATGGAAATGCTCTATTTAAACGGGTGGTTTCATAGGCATATACCTCTGTCAAAACTCATCAAATGGTACACTTGAAATGGGTGTGCTTTATTGTATGTGAAGTATATGTCAATAATGTTCATAAGAGATTTACCTTAGGATCATTCAAATACGATTTTATTGAGTATTTATTGAGCCTCAAAATACAATTTAAAATCTGATTACACAAATGAAAAAGTCTACCTATAAATTTCTTCAAGGTGGAATGTGGGGAAAATATGATCAATGGGAAAAACATTCTAGCATGTTAGTTAATATTTAGCATTTATACAAGAATGGTATGTATTAATGTGGAATATCTCACCAGTGAAACAGATTAAATGATTAGTTCAGATTATCTAAAACAGATCTTAAGTGTTCATTTAGAACACTTACCTATTCTGGCCCTTCTAAAGTAGACAGCATCAGACATAGTGATAACATCTCATTAAAAGCTAAATTGTACATCACCCATGATATCAACATTTTGTGGTCACCGAAGGAACATGTTATTTGGAATTGTTTGCTTGTACATCATCTTGCATTTAAAAATTAGGTCATTTAAGAATTTTGCTATGCTCAAGCAAACCCTATGGCAGGGTGGTTCCTTGGGAAATCTAATATGATAATTTTAATTTTAATATTTTAAATAGGTACCCATTTTAATATGTACCCTTTACATATTCTTCTCTGGGATTTTTGGGGATTCCCCCCCCCCAATCTCTGAGAGAATGCTGGCAAATTCTTGTCTTCATGGCCAATGTGAAAATGAATTAGGGAAGCCCTGACCAACTGATCTTAGGAGTAACATTGAATCCAATTAATGCCACCTTGTCATGTGTGCATGCGGAATGTAACAGAGTAGCTGAAAACAGAGAAATAAGATTTTCCAAAGTACAATGGAGATATTGCTGTAAAACGCTTTCAACCGAATTAGGAATCACTTGCTTTGTCATTAGTCATGCTTGCGTGTTAGTGTAAGGACGTAGGAACCCGTGCATTTATCTTGACCTGTTTATTTTGGATCGAGGCAGGAGCACCTTGTTAGAAGAGGGCAGGTCAGAAGAGAGGGACGTGGTGGGAGATTGATTAGGGCAACTCCAAATGCCAGTAATGGGTTCCTTACTGATGAACGCTGTACTTAGGCTAGCAGCCTATGGCCTATTCACTCCCTTTTCCCTGTCACACAAGGGCTCCATTACAATCCCGGGCTCGGGCTCAGACTCCAGCTCGGGCTTGGGCTCGGGCTCCAGCTCCAGCTCGAGCTCAGGCACCGGGACAGGCTGTGGGGCGGGCTCGGGGGTAGGCTCGTGATCTGGCCCCAGGACGGTATCGGGGTCATTCTCTTGGCCAGAAGGTGGCAGAGTGGCTTCTAGTTGGAGAACGTGTTCGGCTGGCATTGCCTCGAGCTCTGTACTCTGGCTTATCTTTGTCATTGGTCTGCAGGAAGAAGGCCCAGGGAAGAACGAGTTAGGGTTCAGCATTTCACGTGGAGCCCTAGGCTCTGTAGCTTCAGTGACCACAGGTTCCAATCTGTTCAGGACCTCTGTGATGTCTGAGATTCTGACTCACTGTCACACCATGCGTTCGTCTTCGCTCCTGACCAGAGAGGTTAGGTCTCGACCAGAGAATGAGAGTCCGAGAGAGAAAAACTAGGGTCCCAAAGCTGGTTAAAGGAGTTGAGAGACATAGAGCTTAGAGCAGAGCCTGGCACATGGTGGTCAGGAGCTGGTAGCTGCCGCCACCCGTCGTTTCTAGAAGCAGTGAGGGGAGTGGAAAGACACCTCTGATATGTTGGTCTAAAGGGGGCGCTGAGGAAGAGCTGGTGGATAGAGCTGCGCCCGACAAATGTCAGCGTTCAAGTAAAGACAACAAAGTAAGATCTTACTCGAGTTCTGTGCTGGTTTTTGAATTTCTCTTCCTCTCCTTCCCCTTTGCCTTGGCCTTTGCCTTGCTCCTTGCGAAGCACACAACAGAGATGATAATGGCAGCACCCACTAGGGTACCCACCAGCGCCCCAACAATGATTCCAACTTCTGGATCTAGAAGAAACAAGCAGCTGGTTGGTAAAGTGGAACATACTGTCTGCCCCACACGTGTGCATTTGTCACCAGTGTGGGATATCTGGAGCCCTCATATGGTGGGGGAAATGACTTGTATAGGCTGGAAACCCCTAGAACTCTTGCCAGTTGGACTCACCCTGGCTCAACTGTGGAGCTCACCCATTTACACTGATACACATAAAGAAGACATATGCCAACTTGGGGGAGGGGGGTGCGGGGCTCACTTTCAAAACAGGCCTGAGGGAAATGAGTCTTCAATGGGCCTCTGCTTGATCAATGAAAGAGACCCCACAGAGCTACAATCTGGTAACCAGAGAAAGGACTTCTGATACAGGCAGGGACATTTCACTAGGCTTATGTGGAGCATAGGTGAAGTAGGTCCCTGTAAACCTCTCCCTCAGATGCCATGCTCACCAAGGAGCCTCAGGCATTCTGGCCACTGGAAAAGGATATGCCCATTTCCATAAACAGGCATCTGGTCTATTCGATCAGTCTTTGGAAAAACTCAGCGAATGTGCAATGATCCAGCTGAGCACCAGACCTTCCGCTGTCCCTGGGAGACCTTGCCTGAGTTCCGGTGGGCCCATCCCCACCTGCCTCCCTTCAAATAAGGCTGGACATTTTATATTTTGAGATGAGAGGCTAGTTGAGTTGCCTGGTCATTCTTTCAACTTTTTATGATTAAAGGAATCTGTGTGCACGATTTGGAAAGTCTACTAGACTTCTAGCAAAGACGCAGCAGTCCCCGTCCCCTCTCCTCCCCGTCTTTGTGTCCCATTCTCTAGAGGCAACCACTCTTAACTCTTTTTTTTTTTTTTAAATCATCTGGTATTTGCCCCCATGTTTCTATTGTGCTTGTTTTAACTTTCCAATTTTGGGGGTGCCTGGATGGCTCAGTTGGTTAAGCAACTGCCTTCGGCTCAGGTCATGATCTCAGGGTCCTGGGATCGAGCCCCACGTCGGGCTCCCTGCTCAGCGGGAAGCCTGCTTCTCCCTTTCCCACTCCCCCTGCTTGTGTTCCCTCTCTCGCTGTGTCTCTCTGTCAATAAATAAATAAAATCTTAAAATCAAAAAACCAAAAATTTGGCAATTCTAAGCAATGTCAATAGTAGAATATTCCTCAGATAATGCATCAGATAATCTATTGGTTTCTTATGATTTTTTCCCTTGGAGACATCCCTTCTGGAACCCTCCATCCTCCTCCCCCAGCATGGACTGGTTGCCCTCCTAAGCCTGCTGCTGTAGTGTCATCATCCGTCAGCTGCCTTTCACCTTCATCCCTGTTTTATAGATAAACAGGCTTTGCAAATCCTTTCAAGATCCAGCTCAAAGAGCACTTTGTCAATACAGCTGGCCCTGGCTTTATAAACATAATTAATTGTTTCTTCTTTAGGGTCCTAGAGATCCTGTACAGATGGCTATTCTAGCATTTAACACATTTTACTGTTTGTCCCTCTAGCTAAACTGTGAGTTCCTTGAGTGTAAGACATAGACCTTATTAATCTCTGTATCTGCATCATCTGTGATAGTTCCTGGCATATAGTAGATATCAAATTAAGGTTTGAAGGAGGGAGACAGGGAAGCAGGCGGGAAGGGAGGGAGGGAGGCAGGCAGGCAGGCGAGCAGGCAACCAAATGCCAGCATCATTTAAAAAGAGTATTTGGGCGGAAGCAAGGCTCAAATACAACTCCTGAGTCTCTACAGGTACAGTATAACTACTGGAAAGGCAAAATGGGACTGGGAAAGATACAGAAAGAGACAGCAGAAATGATCAAGGGACTAGGGGGAGAATGAGACCACAGACGAAGACCCAAAAGACATCTCTTCACCTTGGAACAGAAATTAGGTGAATGAAGAAGCAGCCTGGGATTGGAAAATGTTTGATTCAGGACAAGTGAAAGGAAGAAAGCTTAGCTTCCTAGGAAAGCGATGGTCCAAGGGAACTGGCCACCTGGATACAGTATGTATTAGTCACAGATTCAAAGTGAGTTAGGAATAATGAATAGATGACATGATCCTAAGTGTTATTAAGGGATCATTCAAAGGTGTGGCAAGGGGCGCCTGGGTGGCTCCGTCAGTTAAGCATCTGCCTTGGGCTCAGCCCCACAATGGGCTCCTAGCTCAGCGGGGAGCCTGCATCTCCCTCTGCCTGCCGCTCCCCCTGCTTGTGCTCTCTCCCTCCCTCTCTCTGACAAATAAATGAAATCTTTAGAAAAAATAAAAAATAAGGCATCCTGGCCCTGCTAGTCACTACCTGGATAACCTTGGGAAAGTCACTTATCTCCTTGAGTTTCAGTTTCCTTTTCAGCAAAATGAGGCTAACAATATATTGTGCCTCCTAGACAGGATGGTTGGAGGATTGAGTGAGATAATGCTCACCGCACCTGGCCACGTGCCTGGCACATAATTTGTGCTCCACAAATATTAGCTACTGTGGTTGTAGGTACAAGTGTTATTATTACTACTATTATTAGAGGCAGATCTTAACAAATTGCAGAAGAACTGGAAAGTCTGTGAGCTCCATGTTCAACATAGATTGCCGGTTTCCCCTGGATTCACCAACAGCATCATAAAGAAAATCCAGCCTGTTACTATCCATGGGGCTGCTGTTTTATTTATTAAATAGTAATACCTACTTTTTAGAAATTTCGTGAGGGATAAACAAAAGTTTTGTAAATGCTTTGGGGCAGTGTATGGCACATATTATCATGTAGGCGTTTAGATATTAGGATGATAATAATTCAGCATATCAACCTATAAATAAACCACCAAAATCACCAGAGAGGCAGGAAGGACTAAGCAGGGATCCTAATTAATTCACTTGGTTGGCAGGCGCAGGATACTTGACTTAAGGAGAAAGTGCATTAAAGTGGGATGATCAACTCACGGGAAGAAGTTAGATCAATTTCGCAGGAACTGTTGCCAAGGTTGTTGCTAGCCGTGCACTGGTAATAACCTTGTTCAAAACTGGTCAGATTTCCAATAACCAAAGTCCCAGTGGCTGGGTCTGTCAAAAACAGGATATAGACTTTGAAATCTCTTATGGACGGTACAGATCATGTCATCATAGCCGAATCACTCCGTGCCCACCCACTCCCTCACATTGGCCTCCCTTTCTTGAGCTGTCCAAGGTCCCGCTAGACCCCTCAGGACTCTTCCAAAGGTAGTCCCCCTGGGACCATGCCTCTTCCCTCCAAATCCACCACCTCTATTATGGTGAGCCAGAAACACGCTTGACTACTAGAGGTTGGGGGTAAGACCAGACCACAGTCACCTTGCTAGGAGATCTGCTTTTTCCCTCCCCTTCCCAGAAGACTGAGCTCTGAAGACGAGCAGCCAGCCACACACACGTGCCATCCGTCAGCCAACCACACACACCAGGCCTTGCCAGGGGCTGCAGTGGGCTGGACTTACTGAAGTTTTCTTTCACTGGGATGATGTCTCCACCTTCGAGTCTATACCAGTAGTACACAGGGGAAGGTGTCCCAAGCAGAGAGAGGCAGGAAAGAGATATCGGATGGCCAGTTTCTGGGACTCCTTGGATGCTGCAAAAGGGCTTAGACGGTTTGACTGTAAGGCAATGACACAGAGTAAAAATGCTGCAGGGGAAGTTGAAACCCGTCACAATCAGCAGCCACTCCCTACTGTCATTTCGTAGACTACCGTGCTGGGCGCTCAGTTTTGAAAGCTTTATGAACTTCCTGTGACCGTTTTCCGATTGTACCGCCAGGTGGGAGTAGAGCACTTCAGGTTCAAGGACCTGCCAGGCACCCGGCCATTAAGATTCTAGCGGCATCTCTTCCTCTTCCGTCTGCCTCCCTCCCCAGATTCGTGACCATGAATTTCTGCATTGTGTCTTAAAATACGCCTTTATTAAGACAGCCAAATGGAAGCAAACGCTAAATGACTAAAGACACAGTTTATACATTTGAAGCCCAGTTTTAAGGGAAAAATAGAACCTTTAGCTACTTTGAGATTAAGTTGTTATTTATTCTTTTTACAACCTTTGTTTTATCAATGCTGTGTCTTTCCTTTCCTTCAGGAGTCACGTTGGGGCATTTATATCTCTGGGGGTGGGTGACCCAAAATTACTGGAGGGTCTGAATTGGCCTGTGTCCCTCACTGGTCGGGGAAGCCCATTTTGGAAGGGGTGTGCTATGCAATGCTGAAATCTTTACTCATCTTTCACCCCTTCTGTGTGCCTGGCACAGCACTAGGCACCGGAAATGCCCAAGTAATGTCTGAAGTGGCGTGGGGGGAGTAGTGGGAGATGAGGCCAGAGAGCTGCAGAAGCTACAGCTTGGAGGGCTTTGTAGTTCAGGTATTTTACACAGACGGCAAGGAGGACCAAGGAAGGAATTTAAGTAGGGGAAGGATGGTGGTCATTTTTAATGCTTTAGACGGTTGGCTCGCACTCTGGGGGTGCCCGAACCAAGGGAGAGGAGGAGGCAGAATCAAAAGGTCTCAAGGAAGTAGAATCGATGGGACTTGGCCAAACGAATAGGGGGCATGAGGAAGAGGGCACAGGCGGTGATGGCTCCCAGGTTTCTGACTTGGACAGCTGGGCTTATCCCAAGATAAACAGGGGAGGGGCAGGTTTTCTGGGATGGAGGGAGGAGGAGAAAAGGGCAATGATACCGTTATTTGGGGACATACTGAGTCTTAGCTGTTTATGAAACATCTCTGTGGGAGGGGTCCTGTGGGAAACCGAGGATCTGGATCTCCTCATTCGTCTTACTGCTCACAGCTTGTCCTAAGCCTCGTGTTACATAGAGATAATAATCTGAATTTCAGTACTTACCACCTCACCTTGCTTGTCTTAACTTAGGCATAAAACCCTTTGGAGGCAGCAGTGAAGAGCACAGCGCTGGATCCACACAGACCACTCTCTGCGGCTTTACTCTGGGTGTGTTTAGGCAAGTACCCTCACCCACCCAAACCTCAGCGGACTCATCTGTATAAATGTGAACAAGAGACCGTCTGGCCTCTGACTAATCCAAACATACTGAATTTAGATAAATAAAATGCTGTCTGTAGTGCCTCACACATGGAATTGCTCTTGGCCATGGGCAGGACTAATTTCTACTGCCACATTGTATAGTTTTCTACTGAAGTTAATCTTCCAGGCTCAGACTCCAACCCGCTGTACACAGGAGTGAGGAGATGGAGATGGCAACTCTCTGAAACCCTGCACCATTCCTATCTTTTAAACAGGTGGTTTTAAATTAAAATAAGTATTTTTCAGGACACCTGGGCGGCTCAGTCGGTTAAGCGTCTGCCTTCGGCTCAGGTCATGATCCCAGGGTCCTGGGATCGAGCCCCGCATCGGGCTCCCTGCTCCGCGGGGAGCCTGCTTCTCCCTCTGCCTCTGCCTGCTGCTCCCCGTGCTTGTGCTCTCTCTGACAACTAAATAAATAAGATCTTTTAAAAAAATTAAGTATTTTTCCCTTTAGCTCTTTATTCTCTTTTCCTTACCATTGATTTTCTCAGATGGGGACATCTCATTCGATTTGCTTCCCCTAAGCTAGGCTATTTAACCGGAAGTCCATTGCAAGCATCACTAGATTTAGATACGGCCTGTTTAAAACCATGATGACTTGATGGCCTTTACAGAATTTGGAACAGAAAATTAAATGGGGGTGTTTCTAGAACCCAGAATCAACCCCAGATAGGCTTTTTTTTCCTGAACACAGTTTCCTCCCTTTATTTTTTATTAACAAAACACTTAGCGAATCACTTTGAACCACGTCCCAAACCTACATATTTTCTACAACTACTGAATCAGGATTGAACTGACATTTCATCCAGCTAATGACCCCAGTAGAACTTTGATGTTTTACTGGCAAAGCCATTGATCTACCATTTAGCATTATTGCTTTCAGCAGAATGGGGGTGGGAGGGAGAGGCTCACTGCAGAAAAATCAATGAAAATGAAAATGCTTCATTGCCCAAGCCTTCCCTATATTCATCATTTTCTTTTTAGGTGCCAAATCGCAGAAGGAATATGATGCTCATTCCAAACACATACAAAATAATTATTCAAACTTCTACCTGGGTATTTTTCAGAGATGCATTTTCCAAGGCTGTCATACCTAATGGAAGCCTCTCAAATGAACGGTCATCCAAACCACCTGGGCCTTTGCTCATAGCTGTTTCCTTTACCTAAGTTGTGCCCTGCCACCTCAGCCCCTATTCTCAAAACTTTTAGAGGGCTGAAACCCCATCTTTTACATCTTTCCATCTCCGTTGTGTGGCACAGTAACCAGATGTGTGTTCAGGATCCGTTGAATGAATTTATGCATGAGGAAGTGGGATCTACGTCCATCACTGTGTCATGGAATGTCTCTGGGCAATGCATTGCTAGGAAGCATGGTCACTAAGGAAATATCAACACCTCTCCCCACAGTTAGCCTCCCTTACCCCCCTGCCCCACTATGCCCCAACCCTCAGTCAGGGCAAGCAGGACAGACACTCATAGGCCATAGAACTTGAGAACTGCAAACAGCCTCTGCAATTTTTTGAGAAAATTATCAGTCTCAAGATTTCCAGAAAGCATGTATCTGTACAAGACCTTGGTTCTTACCCCAACTAACAAAAACAGAATTCTTGAGAATTCCCAAACAAGATAATCCACAGATTCTTCTGCCTTTTACCTTCCCTGGATCCTGGATGCTTAAGGAAAAGTCATGACACAGTCATTGCAGGAACAACGGACCCAAAGACTCATGGGAAAGCAACTTGAAGAGGAAATGACTCTCAACTTCTTAGGATTCTCTGAGCTTTAAACTTAAGAATATTAACCTTCCTGTCTAACTTTAGCTCAGAGATAAAGAGGCTTGGTTTGGACAACCCAGAGCCAGGGAGCAGCAGGAAACCATGAGAGGACTAATCCCTCAAATGCTTTTAATGTGGTATCTCCAGTCTATCATTTGATCCTCCTAACAAACCTGTGAAGACAGGGCAGGAATTACAACTCCATCTCAAAATGGCCAGAGAAAAGTGGACTGACAGGCCCGAGGCCACTGAGTAGCGAAGTACGAACTAGAACCTAAGCCTTTGGACTCCTAGCATCTGTGCTTCACTGTTTAGTTCCCAGGTAAATGACCAGTCTTCCAAATTGGAACATCAACTCTCCCAGGAGAGGGTTTGTGTGTAATTCTCTTGTCTTCTCCCTGTACCCCAATACCTAGCATGGGGCTCAGCAAAATAAAGGCACGATTGAGCTACCCCACTCTTAAAACTCAGCTCCTGATTACCTTTCCCTCCCTTCCAGATGAGGTTAACTACCAAACCTCATCTGGGGCGTCACCTGGGAGGCAAGCTCAGACAACTCTGGATGGTTCTCCTAGGTGTGCACCTTTTACTAATTGCTGCTTTTCCAAGCCAGTCAATTTTCAAGTCACTGGTTTGATCTAGTTCCTCCTTTCCTGTGATGGATGTACACAGCTTGAAAGGAACAATGACTTAGATCAGCTCCATTTGGGATCACTTAGAAATGGGAGAGCCCTCAGCTCAACTGGTTAATTGGTGAGGGTTGATAACTCTTTCCTCTCTCCCTTCAGTACTTCTGAAGGCCTGCAGACAAGACCTTGCTAGGCCTCCAGACAGGAGCAAAGCTCCCATTGTCCTCTCAGAGATTGGAAGGAGCGCTAGACATCCCCCAAAACTGTGAACTCTCCAAGAGCAGAAACCATGCCTCCGTCATTGTAAACTTCATGGCTCCTGGCACAAAATAGGAAGCACTCAGTAAATACTGTATAAATGAACCACTCCAGGTGCATTTGAAAATCAGATATGACTTGCCGAATGTCACATAATGAATATCTGTGCCCATATTCTCAACTCTGGCTTAACCTGTGGTCCTTTTTCCAGATAGTGCTAATGTTTTTAAAAGGGACCCTCCTGCCTTTACTCAAAAGAATGATTTCATGGTGGGAATTGTGGCTGGCTTAGGAGAGATCATAAATAGACAGTTATCTCCCCCAGGTAGGACTGGCTCTAATCAGAGGTTCCCTCCAGTTGCTAGTGATCATTTAGTGGGGATGGTATGTCGTCCCATCTGTCCTCATTCCACCCTTCAGAGACATGGATCCCCGGGGGTTGGGTCATCTGCTGTCATTTTGGCAGCACTTTTAGTTTGGCAATTGTTTCAACATGTTTTGTGAGTGATTTCTCAGTGTTACTCTAAGGGTTGGGTTGGTGGTGTGTCTCTATTTCCCCAACAAGAAAAGGAGCAGGGAGGATATTTATCCCCTGGGACTTAATTAGCACCATAACTCACTGTCCTGGCTCATTGAAGGTCCTAAGTTGTTCCAAGAAGAGAAAAAAAAACAAACAAAAAAACAGAAAAAATTGCCCATACCTAACACATTGACTTGGAGGATGCCTTGATTTTTTCCGACAAAGTCAGGGGGGTTGTTAACATCACAGATGTAGACACCACTATCTGCTGGTTGCATATGCAAAATGGTGATAGATGCGTTATCTGGATCGTTGGACCCTACAATTCGATCTTTAAATTGCCCGATGGCTACAGCTTGTCCACCTTCAGAATAGTAAATCTAGGACAGAAAAATGGCAGAAATGAGAACTGGAGAGTGTCCAGGGCTAAGGTAAGCTACCGGAAGCACCCTCCATCCGACATTACCTTTGTTGGCAAGAGGCAACATTCCTACCCACCCCCTCCCTCACAGAACAGATCCCATGGCAAAGGGGGGGGGGTCTCAATTCAGTGGGGTGCTTTAGCTTTCTCACAGCTGTGCACAACCACCTCCTCATGTGAGCTCACAGCCCTTCTGTGATGTCATCAGAGCAGGGACGTGTGCCGATCTTAGAGATGATAAACAGCTGGAGCTGACAGGGTTCAACTGCTAAGCTTAGGCTAGATCAAGATGCTCACCTGAGGAGTCTACCTGGAGGAAACTCACTGTATAAAACACAAATGCCTGTGGGAAAGCCAAAACCATCATTTTTAACCCCACTTTATAAACTTTTTTTTTTTTTTTAATTTACTAAGTGGGACTACGGGACTATTCAGTTTCCCTAAGAGTTAGAATATTCGTACTCCTTTCATACACACCTACTCCTCTGGATAAGCAAACTTGGGTTTATCCTGTTTGTTAGAAGAGTCACATTTCAGAGCAGAGAGGCCCTTGAGAAATCATTTGGTCCCATCCCCTCATAGTGGCCTAGGAAATGCTTCGTCAGTGGCGGCTCCTCACTTTCTCCCCATGTGGCAGGGGGCAGAACTGGAATTATTCTTTCATTTAGACAAATAAGGGCCCTCAAATCCAGAACGATTAAATGACTCATCCAAAGTCACAGGCTTCACTTATTATTACTATGATTTACCACACTCAAGGAAGATCTGGGTTCTAGTCCCATCTCTAGTAAAGATCATGAATAGTTAGATCATAATGGCAACTGTGGGAGCAGCATGGTGAGGTGGAAAGAGGCCTGGTCTAGGAGTCAGATGACCTGGGTTTTAGCCACAGCTCTGCCTCTGACTGTGACATAGGGAAGGTGGGGCCGCCAGTCATGCCTCCATGGCGACCTGCTTTGTGGTGAGAAACAATGTGATTTAAACTCTCCAACTTTTCGTTTCCACATCTCAATGAGGAGCCAGAGCAATGACCTCCAAATTGAGATGTATTCCCCAGGTATAGGCACATAAGCTGATTTTAGGTGGTACATAAATGAAAACTTACTAGAAAGACACATATCTTGCATATTGTATCTGTGACTTCATGGATATTATTGCTTAGGGTGACACTAAGGTAGATTTTTAAAAAATTTTTTAAAACCAAGTCACTATAGAAAATGACATTAAATAATACTGCTGGTGACACACAATTATGACAAAAATCATAAAGATGAGACATAAAGGACTGAAGCTTGGAAATCACTGGACCAGGTGATCCCTGAGGTTTCTTCATCATACACACACATCCTACACACTTTGTTAGTTTCATATAAATGTATGTCATTCAAGTGATGGTTTATTTTTTAATAAACTGGTATCACCCTAGTCCAGTGGAACTAATTAATGTTTTCATAAAATCTACTAAAAGGGCCTTATTCATTTAATTCACTCCCCTTACTTTCTAGTGGAAGCTGAAGCCCAGAGAGGTTAAAAAAAAAAAAAAAAGACACACACACACAAAGTTAAGTGAGGAAAGGTCTAGAACCTGGTTCTTCTAACTCCTTGTCCGGTGTTCTTTACCTTAATAGGATAATGAGAGAGGAAAGGCAATTAACAAACCAAAAGATATGATCAAGATAAATTCAGAAATATTCTCCTTCAAATCGAAAGCCAATATAGTTTTAAACAAAAGCAGAAAGGTAGATTCTGAGGGAAAATTCAAAGACCATATTTAAGGAGAAAAGACTTGTCTCTCTTCTTCGGTTGTCTAACATCAACTAGCTTTCTTTCCTGCCCCAAATGAGCCATTTATAATTCAATTTGTCCATTCACACCTACTGAAATCACCAACATTTGCCCCAAAGGGGTCTTGTTGGACTTATAAACTGGAAAGCCAATGTTAACTGAAGGTATTCAAGGGGTCCAGGAGGAGGTTCAGCTGGTCAGAGGTCTATTGCCTCCCTCTGAGTTGACACCCAAGCTATTGGGCTTTCCATTTCACTAGCCAGCGTGGGGCTTATTTACTTGCTAATCAACAATTTGAGGCCCTGTGTACTCTTACCTGGAACACAGCCTGCAGGCCATCCAGGAAGCCCTTTTACAATGTAGACATCTGGCTGCTTCCCCTGCTCCCAGGAAGACTGGGGATAAGTCAGCCTGTTTTATGCTGAGGCTCGGCGACATCACAATGAGATACATCAGTCCTGCCTACGGCCCACAGTGAGTGCCAGAGGGTCTGGGAGAAAAGACCTTGTTTCTGCCCAGAGCAGGGAACCAAGAGAGTGTGTGTTTTAGGCCAGGACTAGAACATGCAAAGAAGCCACTGTAAAAGTCTCACCTTTGGTCATGAATCCAGGTGAAATGAGCAGATAAGTTATGAGGCCCTGAACTTGTAACTTCCCTCTAAAAAGGACCCTTCCCATCCCTTCTACCCTCACTCCTCACACCGTCCCCCCATATATCTTGCCCTCTCACAAATAATACTGAAGGGTGTCAGGGATAGGAATGGAGCTAAAGAGGGATAGCAATGGACACCTAAAAGGGAAAGGCCTAGGCCTGAGAAGGAAAGTCCCCAGGGCTAGCCAGTGGCCAAACACACAGATGGAGGGACTTTCTGTTAGGGGAAGTCCAAGCTGTCACACTGTCCTTGTAAAGAAAAAAAAAAATAGAAATGTTTTCCTGAAACTGCTTATCTAATCACACAGGAAGTACTGAAACGTGGTGCCATTTTCCACAAAAGAATAACTCTTTGAAAAATCAAAGCTGAACAATGGCCAAGACTCAGCCCATGATCCTGTGGGACTTGTACCTTTTCAAAGAAAGTATACTGTCAATTGAGAGATCAAAGCAAATGAGGTCCAGGAAAAGCCATGGATGTTCCACGGGCCACACATCCTTTGGGGTGGGGGGACAGGGTGGCAAATCTGCTTAAAGAAAAATCCATTCAAGTGTTCCCTTAAGTGGTACTTGTTAATTTGTTGCCCACTTGCCCTTCGTGGCTGCCCTACTCCCCGCCCCCCCCCCCCAGGTACCTTCTGCTCCTCCATGATGTTAGAGGCTGATACGTAGTCATAATGACACATTGTTATAAGACCCCCTTTGAGATCACTTCATTCATGGTTTCTAAGGTTGACGACTCTTCAGGAGCCAGATGGATATTAGAAATATGGGAAATAGCTGGGAGGGGCTGGTGGATGGTGGTAAGATCACAAGGACAGCGGGGACCATGGTGAACCAGAGAGCCAATACAACAAGGCTTCCAAACTGTGGAAACAAACAAACAAAATACTGGGCTGGTCAACCAACACGAATCCACTGGTCAAATCGGGCCCAGAGGCCGCCAGTTTGCAACCTCCAATTCATCCCCTTCAATAATAGAAAAGGACACTGAGGCCCCAATAGAGGAAGTGATTTGTCCAAGGTCACACAATTTATAACCAGACCTGGAATTCAGACCTCCTGATTCTCTCCGAATACACGAAAATAGCACTCCTAGTGCTGCTTTGGGCGGGGGGGTGATTCCTAGGTAATCTTTCCCAACCCTTTTCCTGCCGATTGCTACTATTCATTGGCATGGCACTGCCCATGCCGAGTGGGCCTGCCACCTGATGCCTTCAATGGTTGCCAGCTGCGACAACAGCCTCTCCCCTCCTATGATGCCAAGTTCCTATTCACATGAGGCCATGCAGCTGGGAGCCAGATTTGTCCAAAAAGATTTTTTTCCCCCTCAGCTTTGTGACACAGTTCTCTAACCAGAGGCTGGAATATAAACAAGGAGGGTTGAAAGAATTCAGTCTGCTTTCTGTTTGAGTCTGAGTTGGAATTAATAAATGCATTTAGCCTCCAGAGCTGCTTTTGTGGGTTCCTTTTGGAAATGTGGAGGGTGTGGAAACCCACAGTAAAGCACCCATTCTTTCCCTTCAGCTTCTCGTTTTCCTGCACTACTCATAAAGGGGCTGGCTGTGGGAGGGGAGGAGGGGGCAGTGGCAATGGTCTCAAGCCCCGCACTTTTTCTGGACTGTTCTTGGGGTGGGGGTGGGGGGTTGAGATTGCACATGGAAGGGAAAGAACACCAAAAGATAGACATCCCTGCCTTCAAACCACTCCCTTCCCAGGCTGCCATTTGCCTGAGGTCCCCACCATTTGAACTGCTTCTTTGGGGTGAAGGCATGGAACAAGTCTACACTTAGAGGATTTTCTTTGGAAGAGAACAAAATAAATTAGTATCACCAGTCCCTAGCACCTCAGCGTTAGATTGATTGATCAGGTTTAGCAAGAATATACACCTGAGGCCATGGGATACAGAACAGATAAATTTTGATGGGAGGGGGTGGTGGGAAGGGAAGAATGTGGACTGTTTCTCAATGGGAGTGACACTGGTATTTTGGGCAGACCGTTCTTTCTCCTGTGGGCTTAGCCTGCGTATTGCAAGACATCTAGCACCTCTAGCTCCCACCTACTAACTGCCAGCAGTGACTCTCATTTATAACCATTACACCAACACCCCCCTCATTTTCAAATGCATGTGAAGAGATGGTACACCCCCACCCTGCCAACATTTGGGAAGCATTTGATATAATGCTATCTGAAGAGGACAGTCCAGGTGGGGAGAATTTGAACAGCCAGAGAATACGAAGACACTAGGTTCTAGAAGGGAGTTGTCCACATTAAATGTATGCTGGAGAGATGAAAATGGCAACAGGTTTCATCCACTAAGGATGTTCTAAGTATTGTCTGCGAGACCCATGCTAAGTAGGATCAATGCCTGTTCTGTTCATGGGCAGGTGAGGTCTCTTTAGTTTTACCAGTTACTGGCTGGGTGGAAGAGGAGAAAATTGGTGTGATCAGAGGGGCACCAAACTACCCAAAACTTCCATGCTAGCCTGCCTGTTCCAGGGCCTAGAGTCTTCAGCTGAAAGTCTCTGCTGAGGGACTGATCATCTGAAACTGTTCCTGTCTTCTGAGAGGAGGGCTTCTCTAAGAGAAGGACCGTGCTAATAAATGTCCTGGCCCTCCTGGTCAGAAGACTTATGGAATACTTCTGTAGTCCCCATTCACCAAAGGAACCCCTTGGAGGGGATAGTCAGTAAGTGGTAACACCCTCCCCTGGGTATGGAGAACCACTATGCCTTGGAGTCAACTGCTCCTTTAACACAATGATTTGGGGGTAGGAGAAGAATGCGAGCCTATGGCAAGAGCGGGCCCCTGCCCTGCTCGAGGCAGCAATAAGTCCCTGAGCCTTTTGGAGGAGGCTGAAAAGAAGTCCAGACATGGGTGTGAGAAGGCAGACTCAAGACTGTCCCAGTTTTGCCAGGAGCCTGTGCTGATCTGGACCATCCCATCCCACTCCTAAAGGCTGGTGCCATTGCCCTAGATATTCCAAACAATGAAGGGGTCCAGTAGTACACCAATTGGTGTTCTTACCTGAGAGGTCCAGCTACATCTTCCCCGAGCGTCTCTTGCATGCGCCATATTTAGACACTGACTGACTGCCTTTTCCTCCATACCCTCAGTATTGAGGCACGGGCTGTGCTGTGTTTGAGCAGAAATGGGTGGGTCTGAGAGCTGAATGCTACATGATATATTGCCACATCAACCCAGGAGTTGAAGTGAATCACTCAGTGATCAGTCTGGCAACGTCTTACTCCCATAAATCAGAGAATTGTCTAATAGCACAGCAGTCTCTTTTTATCATCCCCAAAATGTTCACCAGCCATCCCTAGATTAGCATACAACATGCTCTACAGAATACTGAATGCATGGAAGTACTCAAAGAAGAAACAAATTCGAAATAGAGGCCAAATCCCATTTTGAAAAATACCATCTCAACTGAAGATGTCTACAACTTCTTTGTTGAGTGGACTCTGTTCAGGGAGAGGAGCAGGCAGAGAAGGCTAACCCCTCCCTTCAGCCACGGGAACCTGGCAGGCAGTGAAGCAGGAAACTAATCCTGAGCCAGGACTCCCCCAAGAGCTCTGTCCCAGCTGTTGAGCTATACTAAATATCTTTTTTTTTTTTAAGATTTTTTATTTATTTGACAGAGAGAGACACAGCGAGAGAGGGAACACAAGCAGGGGGAGTGGGAGAGGGAGAAGCAGGCTCCCCACAGAGCAGGGAGCCCGATGTGGGACTCGATCCCAGGACTCTGGGATCATGACCTGAGCTGAAGGCAGTTGCTTAACCAACTGAGCCACCCAGGCGCCCCTATACTAAATATCTTTGTTGGGCCGGATCCCTAGCGCCCATGATGCAGGGGGTCTGGATGGGCTAGGGATTTTACAAAATCACCATTTTGTAAGTAATGATACTACTAATAATAGCTCACATTCGTTGAATGGCTACTATGTGGAAGACTTCCCAGTGCTTTACAAGCATCATCTCATTTAATCTTCACAGTAAACCTATGAGGTAGGTAAGTAGCCCCATTACACAGATGGGAAAACTGACCCTCTGAAAGGTCAGCTGACTTGTCTAAGGTCATCCAGCCAGCAGCTAAGTAGCAGAGCAAGGAGTAGAACCAATAGCCATCAGGAAGTTTCCACTGGTGCTCCTAAACTGCTCATCTGGAAAAGCAGAGAGAAGCACATGCCTGCAGGGTATGGGGAAAAAGGTGAGAGCCTCCAGTTCTTTGGAGGTAGAGACCTAAGGACGGTTGAAATGGGGACCTTGCTGGGGCAAGCTAAAACAAGATGGAAGAAGAGAAAGAAGAGGAAGCTTGACTTTTTGGAGGTGGTTTTCACTGTCTCTAAGCCCAGAGCTAGACCATCCCCCACCCACCCTGTCTCCTATGCAGCTAAGGCACAGGCATAACAAAGGTTTCATGCATCAGAGAAATATCTAAAATATTTTAAGATCAAGAAGAATGTTGTCACTGAATCAGTGGCTCAGTGCAGAGGAGCTCCTTTGATTTGGACATCTCAAAAGCCTAGATACCTTAAACTACTTGCCTTGCCTGTACCTGACATTTTGAAGAATGAGGCAAATGTCAAGTAATAAGCTACTCAGTACATACATACTTGTTACTAAAGTTTCTTTCCAAAGTGCCTCTAACAGATGTCCTGAGGTCAAGCCACACCTCGTTCGATCACCTACACCTTCTGTGCATCTCCAGGTTTAGAAAAAACCCATTGCTGGTCACAAGATCCTTCTGCCCTGCATCTCCCAACTCAGAACTACTTGGTTCAACCAAGAGATGGCCTTGTAAATTCCAGTGTCAGAGGAGGCATAAAGAACAACTTGTATTTTTGAACGCAGGTTGGCCTGGCCTCACTTCCAGGCAGTCGAGGACATCTGGATTTGAGTACCACACATACAAATAATTCAAAATATATTGGCAAGGCTTCTCTAATTTCAGCCCCTACTGGCTAAATGGGAAGGACTTCAGGCCTACAGATAAAGAATGCATTGAAAAGACTATTCAGGAAACTGAATTTTAAAAAGGAAGAAAGTTCATGTGATTATTGCCATCCACAATACAAGAGAGCAACCTGCAAAGGGATGATTTCTCAGTTGATTGCAATATGTGAGGTCTTGGGTCAGGGCATCGGGGTGACAAAAAGAGGTAAAATCACTGTTGTTGTTGTTGCTGCTGCTGCTGAAGATGATAAAGGTGTTTACAAGGGAGAAAACTTACAGGCCTTTAAATTTTTCCCAAGCCTTTTCACATGCAGCATGTCAGCTGGTTCCCCATGAGATATATAGAAGAGCGTTAGCATTCCACCATGTTTTGAAGAGTGATTCAGATGCATGTCTGAGGTAACCAGTGCTAAGCAAAAATGGTGAACACTGACTAGAGGGTGGCATTAATGAAATCACCTCTTGAACAGTGTTTCCTGCTACAAAAGTGTTCGGGACCTCTGGTAAAGAGAGGATCTAGCACCTCCAAAGGACCAGAGATGGCTGAAGCCCCACTGGCCAAGGTGTGGCTCCTCCAAGCTAGCAGCCTCCTCCTTCTCTACCTCTGTCCTTCAATCTCCTCTAGTCCACTCAGCTCGCTCTCCATTTTTCTACTAATCAAAACCCCAATTCAACTCCATCCAACTATTCCAAGCCATACTGATTTGTTTCTTCTCTGAACTCCTTGTTTTGGATCATATATCTTTTTGAAAATCTGATGAAAGCTATAGGCCTCTTCCCTTAAGGGATATGTGTTGGCAGACATGTTGCACACTCATGCAGACTTCTGCATGCATTCTCTCTCTCTCTCTCTCTCTCTCTCTCTCTCTCTCTCTCTCACACACACACACACACACAACTTTGAGTATATAATTTTCGTCTCTGGGCTAATTTAAAAAGGAATTACCCTTAAGGCCCCATGAAGAAAACCTGAAAATAGACAAGCTTACAGTTAGAACATTTTCCTTTGACTTTCACCCACTTTCTTCTAGCAACCTCTGACCCCTAACCCCAGCCTATTTGCCCTATCCTCTACCCTCTAGCTTCTTGTTGCCCTTGATTACTCAGGGTTCATCACTACCTTGGCCCTTCTCCACCCATCTGGGAGTCTCATTCCATCAGGATTCATCTAGCACAATGAGCTAGCTCACTTGAGGGGCAGATCCCAGATACTACATTTGACAGAGATCAGCAGATCAAGTAGGACGTGTATTTGAACTGGGGTCTTCTGGAAATAATAGGGAGATTATTTGGGGGGAGGAGGAGCCTTCTCAGAACTACTGCTTATTTCACCTAGGAGAAGGACCATTCCTGTCTACTCTAGAAAACACGATACACCAGCTACTGACCTACTCAGATTTGAGATAACAGGCTATAACTGAATATGAAGAGAGGACAAAGGCCACATCACATACATGATGGTCTTCCCTAAACAACTATCTTCAGACTCTTTGTACCTGAGATTCTGCCACTGCTATCACTGGTTTACCACTCCTTCACACACGACCTCAACAGTTTATGTCAGAACTACCACAGGGGAATAGTTGAGGTAAAAAGTCCTTACAGAAGCTGGCGGTAAGTCCTTCTTGTGAAAGAATGACCACTGGATCGAGAGCTTGTCCCGGGAGGCCACAGTGCTGGTGTAGGTGCAGACAAGTGTAACATCGGATCCAACAGTCACATTCACAACACTGTTTGGGATGGTCACCTGCACCATATTAACTTGACCTGAAAAAATAATCATCAAAAAGAAAATGGTACACTCTCACATTCTGAGGACACTCTTTCATTACAAAGCACTTTCAATGACATCTTGTTTGAGGTATCCAAGGTGAGGAGGAGGAGGTAGAATGAACTGTACAGGAAAGCTGACCCAGCAATTGGCGTGGGGGTAGGGGAGTTTCTAACAAATTACAATGTAATGAAACTCAAATCCTATGTGATGGTGAGGTAATAACACCGAACTGCTAGTTCTTCTGTATAAGGATGGCCTTAAACAGAGGTTCTTAAAATGTTGTCCAGGGACCTAAAGGTCTATGAATATGGGGAAAAACTAATCCAGGTTGCCCAGGACTAACACATTTCTTGGATGTGGAACTTTCAGGGTTTTTTTCTTCCAAGTTTTTATTTAAATTGAAGTTAGTTAACATATAGTGTAGTATTGGTTTCAGGAGTAGAATTCAGTGATTCAGCACTTACATACAATACCCGGAGCTCATCCCAGCAAGTGCCCTCCTTAATGCCCGTCACCCGTTTAACCCATCCCACCACCCACCTCCCCTCCAGCAACCCTCAGTTTGTTCTCTGTTGTTAAGAGTCTCTTATGGTTTGCCTCCCTCTCTGTTTTTATCTTTTTTATTTTCCTTCCCTTCCCCTATGTTCCTTAAATTCCACATAGGAGTGAAATCATATGGGATTTGTCTTTCTCTGAGTGACACATTAGCACATGGACTAATTACGTCCATGTTGTTGCAAATGGCAAGATTTTATTCTTTTTGATGGCTGAGTAATATTCCTCTGTGTGTGTGTGTGTGTGTGTGTGTACTAACTCTTATTTATCCATTCATCAGTCGATGGACATTTGGGCTCTCTCCATAATTTGGCTATTGTGGACATTGCTGCTATAAACATTGGGGTGCATGTACCCCTTAGAATCAGTATTTTTGTATCCTTTGGATAAATACCTAGTAGTGAAATTGCTGGGTTATAGGGTGGTTCTATTTTTAACTTTCTGTTTTCCAGAGTGGCTGCACCAGTTTGCATTCCCACCAACAGTGTAGGAGGGTTCCCCTTTCTCCGCATCCTTGCCAACATCTATTGTTTCCTGAGTTGTTATTTTAGCCATTCTGACAGGTGTGAGGTGGTATCTCATTGTGATTTTGATTTGTATTTCCCTGATGATGAGTGATGTTGAGCATTTTTTTCATGCGTGTGTTGGCTATTTGTATGTCTTCTTTGGAGGAACTTTCAGTTTTAAAACCAGGTCTCAGGCAAACCATACTGGTTTTGCTAGGATGTTCAGTGCTTAAACCAGGAAAATCTCAGAAAAACCAGGATGAGTTGGTCACCTTATCCCTAAGACCATTTTGAGAGGCTTTAAGATCAAAATGATATTAATAATAATACCAAGAGGTTATTTTTCTTTTACACTCTCATCCTCTCATGAGTGTACAGTGGAGTGTTCCACTAGCTACTGATGATGGTGATAGTGATTCATTGCTTTCGCAGCTAATGGAATGTGTGCTTGTGTATTTTTGTTTAAATAATTTTTAGTTTTAATTTCTAATTCAGTAAATATAGGTAGAAATAAGTGACAGAGCAAAAATTCCTTGGGGGTCCTCCGTAATTTTTAATTGAAAATTTTACTGAGATAATAGTAGATTCACATGCAGTTCTAAGAAACAGCACAGATATTCCATGTACACTTTACCCAGCCCCCCATAATAGTATCATTTTATAAAACTATACTATAATATCACAATTAGGACACTGGCATTGATACAATCCACCAATCTTATCTGTATTTCTCCAGTTCTACTGGTACTCAAGTGTGTGTATGCACTTAGTTTGATACACTTTTATCACATGTGTAAGTTTGTGTATCTACCATCACAATCAAGATACTGAACAGCTCCATCACCACAAAGATCCCTGACGTTGCCCTTTTATAATCACACTCACCTCTCCCTTCTGCACCCCATCCCTGATTCTAAGCATTGGCAGTCACTAATCTGTCTTTCATTTATAAAATTTTGTCATTTTGTAATTTTTCAGGAGGGGCTTTTTTTACTCATCATAATTCCCTAGCATTGTACCCAAGTTGTATTGGTAACTCATTGCCATTTATTGGTTAGGAGTATTTAATCTGTTTAACAATTCACCCATTTAGGGGCGCCTGGGTGGCTCAGTCGTTAAGCGTCTGCCTTCGGCTCAGGTCATGATCCCAGGGTCCTGGGATCGAGTCCCGCATCGGGCTCCCTGCTCAGCAGGAAGCCTGCTTCTCCCTCTCCCGCTCCCCCTGCTTGTGTTCCCTCTCTCGCTGTGTCTCTCTCTGTCAAATAAATAAAGAAAATCTTAAAAAAAAAAAAAATTCACCCATTTAGGAACATCTAGGTTGTTTCCAGGTTTGGGCTGTTGGATAAAACTCCGATGTACAGATTTTTGTGGGAACATAAATTTCTATTTCACTGGGATAAATTCCCAAGAGTGCAACTGATGGGTCAGATGGTAGTGACATGTTTAGTTTCATTAAAAACAGAAACAAGGGTGCCTGGGTGGCTCAGTCAGTTGAGTGTCCGACTCTTGATCTCAGCTCAGGTCTTGATCTCGGGGTCATGGGTTCAAGCCCCATGTTGGGCTCCACACTGGGAAAAGGACCTACTTAAAAAAATACAAAAAGCAAAAAACAAACAAACAAACCGAAAACCAGCCACATTGTTTTCCAGAGTGGCTATACCAATAAACATTCCCACCAACAACATATGAGTGGTCCAGTCTCTCCACATCCTCTCCAGTCTCTGGTGTTGTCACTATCCTCTACTTTAGCCATTATAATAAGTGGGTAGTAATATATCATTGTGATTTTAATTTTTCTTTCCCTGATGCAATTTAATGATGCTAAACAACTTTTAATGTGATAATTTGCCATTTGTGTATCTTCCTCAGTGAAAGGTCTGTTCATATCTTTAGCACATTTTCTAATTGGATTGATTATTTAATTTTCAACTGGTGAATTTGGAGAGTTTCTTTATATAATCTAGATTCCAGTCTCTTCTTGGGTAGAGACAGTTTTATTTCTTCCTTTCCAATTTATATGTTTTTTATTTCTTTTTATTACCTTATTGCAGTGGCTATAACTTCCAGTACTTTACATGTACAACATGTACACAACATAATACAAAACACGTTAGCTGTTAGGTTATTTGTAGATGCTTTTAATCAAGTTGAGGTAATTCTCCTTTGTCATGGGTTAAATTGTGTCCCACCAAAAATATGTACAAGTTCTAATTCCTGATATCTGTGAACGTGACCTTATTTGGAAATAGAGTCTTTGCAATGTAATTAATTTAAGGATCTTGAGATGAGGTGATTCTGGATTTAGGGTGGGCTTTAAATCCAATGATTGTTGTCCCCATAAGAAAAAGGAGAGGGAGATTTGACACAGATACACAAAGAGAAAGGCCATATGAAGATAAAATCAAACATGGGAGCATTGTATATAGACACAAAGAGACACCAAGAATTTCTAGGAGCCAAGTAGCAGAAAGGCATGGCACAGATTCTCCTTCAGAGATTTTAGAGAGAAACAATATTGCCAAAGCTTTAACTTCAGAATTTCAGCCTCCAGAACTGTGAGAGAATAAATTTCTCTTGTTTTAAGCCACCCAGTTTCTAGCAATCTGTGACAGCAGCTTAACTTGTTGAGAGTCTTTATCATGAATGAGTATTGGATTTTGTCAGATGCTCTTTCTGTATCAATTGATAGAATCATTTGCTTTTTTTCTTTAGCCCAGTTGATATGATAGATTACACTGAATGACTTTGAGTGTTGAGCCAGCCTTACATACCTGAAATAAATCCCACTTGGTCATGGTGTAGAATTCTTTTTAAACATAGTAGGATTCAATTTCCCAATGTTTTGTTGTGGGTTTTTGAGTTTAAGTTCATGAAAGAATTTGTTCTATAGTTTTCTATTTCTGTACTGTCTGTCTGGTTTTAGTATCAGGGTAATACTAGCCTCATAAAATTAGTTGGAAGTGTTCCCTCCTCTTCTGTGTTTTGGAAGAGATTGTGTAAAATTGTTGTTAATTATTTTTTTAAATGTTTGGTAGAATTATCCAGTGAAAGTATCTAGGCCTGGATATTTCTTTTTCAGTAGCCTTTTAAATTATGAATTCAATTTCTTTAAGGGTTTGGGGATATTCAGATTATCTATTTTATATTGGGTGAGTTTTAGTAGTTTGTTGTTTTGGGGGAATTGGTCCATTTCCTCTAATTTGTCAAATACATGAATGTAAAGTTGTTCACAGTATTTCCTTATTATATTTTTAGTGACTTCAGGATCTGTGCTGATATCCCATATTTCATTTCTGATATTGGAGATTTGTGTCTTATCTCTTTTTATTTTTACCAATCTTGCTAGAGGTTTTTTTTTTTAAATATTTTATTTATTTATTTGAGAGAGAGAGAATGAGAGACAGAGAGCAAGAGCAGGAAGAGGGTCAGAGGGAGAAGCAGACCCCCTGCTGAGCGGGGACCCAATGTGGGACTCGATCCCGGGACTCCAGGATCATGACCTGAGCTGAAGGCAGTTGCCCAACCAACTGAGCCACCCAGGCGCCCGCTAGAGGTTTGTTAATATTATTAATCTACTTTGTTCAAAGAACCAGATTTTTGTTTCATTTAATAATTTTCTTATTTCAATTTCATTGATTTCAGCTCTTTATTACTTCCTTTCTTCTCTTTGCTTTGGGTTTATTTTACTCTTCTTCCAGTTCCTTGATGTAGAAACCTCAATTATTGACTTGACACTTTTCTTAATTTCAAATGGAAGCATTTAGTGCTATAATTTTCTCCCTCAGCACTGCTTTAGTTGCATATTACATATTTCCATATGTTATGTTTTCATTTTAATTCAGCTTTATGTATATTCTTTAAATTTCCTTTGAGATTTCCTTTTCAGTCCATAGGTTATTTAGAAGTGTGTTGTATAATTCCCAACTGTTTAG